AACCCAGGAGAGAGGTGGTGGGTGCTTTGGGAGGAACGGTTGGTGAAAGGGCTGGAGAGAGGCGGCATGTCTGGCCTTGCAGTAATAGGCCTTGGATTACTGCTGGTAATCCTGCCTTCCCCTTGTAGGGTTAGAGGAGGTCAGAACATGTGGCCTCCTTGGCGTTTTTGCAGTGGCACATTAGTGAAAAGTGCTTGGTGACTATCCAAAAGGTTGGTGGTTTAAACCCACCAGCCACTCTGCTGGAGTAGGATGTAGCAGTCTACTTCTGTAAAGATTTACAGCCTTAGAAACTCTATGGGACAGTTCCACTCTGTCCTTACAAGGTCACTACGAATTGGAAATGTTCAGGTTTGTGAGCATCAAACAATATGGCAAATCATTATGAATGTATACAAACATAAAACATTATTACTGCTAATAAATCTTAGGAGCTCTGGTAGCTTAGTGCCTAAGGCATTTGGCTGCTAACCAGAAGGCTGGTGGTTCAAACCCACCAGCCACTCCTCAGAAGGAAGACTGGACAATCTACTTCTATAGTGCTACTGCCTTGGAAACCCAAGGAGGGATTGCTATGAGTCGGGTCCAACTTGACAGCACATAACAACAACAACAACAACAATAAATCTTGCCAAAAAACTAATCTTCAATAAAAACTCTCTTCTTTGGAACTACAGTCAAAAGTTAAATTATACAAAGTTCATGTCAATCCCTTATATTAACCACTGGGACTATGGGCTAGAAATCTGTTTGGTACCATTTGAAATACAGAGTAAAGCTATGCATGTGTGTATATGTATATAAATGTCCAGGAAAAAAGATTCTCAGAAAGTGAGCCTCACAAGAGAAATCAACAAAGGCAATAAAGAGATGTCAACCCTCTTAGGGAGTTAAAGAGCTGCGAGACCAAGTAGAACATAGACCATCCTCTCCAGCCCCAAACAGTATTTGTCCTATAATTAAAAAATCTGAAGTGAATGGAAAGTTACTTTATTTGTGAGAAAACAGAAATAGGAGTGTGTGATGATGTTATATTTGATTATTTCAGTGTGGCTGCATTACTGGAGGCATTAAAACAGAAAGTAATTTACATTATAAGGATAATGGTCATAACAGTAAGATGATGACCTAAAGTAGAGCATTAACATAAGAGAAACCATTACAATAGCCCATCGGAAACACAAAACCCAATCATCATAAATTACCCTTGCTAACTATGGGCTTGTGAGAGCTTGAAATTATTCTCAAATATGCACCTAAAATATTATTACATTAGTCTCATATATTTAATACGTGGCTACCTCTTCAACACCAGACCCTTTACAGACACTTAAAGAACTGATTTCAAGATAAGTCAAGTATTAAACAGAAATGATTGTTTTAATTACCTGAAAGTGGTCAATCAGCCATGTGCTGAAAATACTTCAACTCAATTTAATGCATAAAAATAACTAATCAAATTGTTATAAAGTGCTTTATAAATTTAAAGTGTCATATAAATGGTCTGTAATCAGGGTAGTCATCATCATAAATATAATTTAACAGCCACAAAGTGACCATAGTGAATCTCTATCTTTTTATCCCCGGGACTGAGAAAAGAAAACACTATACACATAAAACTGTGACTAATGAGAAATAAGTGCTATTAAGCTGTCATATTAAAAGGTAAATGCTCAGTAAGGGAAAAAAAAAAAAAAAAGCAAGACTAAGGAGAATGATTAGAATGTATATATATTATGTATTTTTAAGTGATGATAGATGCATGATTTTGACCAATAATTCCAGGTAGATGATATCCTTCAGATGGTTTTAAAATACTTATTTTGAAATGTGTAAGGTTTGAAAAACTGGACAAGCTATATTCAAATCCGCTTCCTAAGGCTAACTAATTTTCATTATTACAAGATGACAGCACGGGGGGATTGGGAGGAGCTGACAGGAGCCATTTTACATTTGTTTGTGATTAAACCAAAGAGGACCAGCAAAGAAGGACTTACAGTCCAAAATGTCGAATATGCACAGAATGTTTATCATCATTCTTTTTAAGAATGAGAAGCTGTGGGGTTTGGCAAATTAAGTAACAGAGATGTCAAAAGCAATGAAATTGAACCCCAGGCATATCTTAATGGCTCAGCTAGTTTCTTCACCTATAAAAATCAGGACACTCTTCCTGTTGTCTGTGTTAGGTAATTAACAGCTATAAAGCACTCTGAAAGTATAAACCGCTAAATAAATAATGACTGTCAGAGAATTTTTTACCATAATGTGCTAAATAATTATGATGCAACACGGGCTTCCAACATTATCATTTTTGTTTTCAAGTTAATAATGTAAATAAGACTTTAATCCAGTAATATGGCACAGCACGGTGCTAGATAGCAAGTTAAATTTAGCGATTAGGAATTACAGAAGAGAGCTTGCTTTTTCCAAGAGTAGCTGACTCAACTTTACTTTCAGTAATGAAAATAAAGTCATGTTCTATTCCTGTAGCTGCAGAAATATCACCACTCTGCCTGTCTCTACATTTCAGTTCATTCCAATGAGAGCCCATTCTACTTAAAAATCCATTAACCAAGTACTTGACATTTTGAGACTTTCCATTTATTTGAAATTGATTTTGAAATCCTAAACTATAATACCATTTGATCTATTTCCTGAGACTTAACAACACAAGTGACTTTCAGTATTACTGTAACTTTCCCAGTCTCTTAGAGTACAATACTTATGAGACAATGTTGTTGTTGTTAGGTGCCATTGAGTTGGTTCTGACTCATAACAACCCCATACACAACAGAACGAAACACTGCCCAGTCCTGCACCATCCTCATAAACGTTGTGCTTGAGCCCATCATTGCAGCAGCTACTGTGCCCATCCATCTCGCTAAAGGGCTTCCTCGTTTTTGCTGACCACGTGTGATATCCTTCTCCAGGGATTGGTGCCTTCTGACAACACGATTAAAGTACAAGAGATGAAATCTGGCCATTCTCACTTCTAAGGAGCATTAGAATGAGACAATAAGCTTATCTAAAAAAAATTCCACTCCTTTTTAAACTTGCTTACTGAGGAAATATGGATGGAGAAGTTATAAGCAGTTATTTCATGACCTTCCAAACTTTCTATACCAACGGTTGTATGAGTATGTCATAGCCTTTAAACTATGGACTGGAAGAGCTAACATTATTTTTTATTATACATATCCAGTCTTCTTTGTTATTTTCTACACACACTTAAAATAACTATTGAATATTATGGCGAAAAAAAAAAAAAACATATAAATCATAGAAGGATGGGAAAACCTTAGAGAGCCAATCCATTGTCTCAATGAACACACAATTATCTAGAAAATATGGTCTTCAGCCTAAATCCAAGGGAGCTCTGGAAGCATAGTGCCTAAGGCACTTGACTGCTAACCAAAAGGCTGGCTGTTCAAACCCACCAGCCATTCCTCGGAAGGAAGATGGGGCAATCCACTTCCACAGTGATACTGCCTCAGAAACCCAAGGAGGGGTTGCTAGGAGTCGGGTCCAACTCGACAGCACATAACACCACCACCACCACCTAAATCCAAAAGCTGATCATGGTTCTGTTCACAGAGATACATTGTTCTGTGAATTATCTACACAGTTATAAATAAATTTGTAGTTCTAAAGAGCAATTTAAACATCACTGAAAAAACAAGCCTAAATCCTATTTATTATGTATTGGGGGAGAAAACCATTTGCCAGTTACTATCCTGTGAAAAAAAACAAACATCTACATAAGAAATAAAGTAAAGGGTATGATTCATATCACAATGCAAATATATAATTTTATCCTCTTAATAACCAAGACCTCAAATACCAGTTTAAGTGACTCATATTATAGGTAGTCCTGGGTTATGAATGAGATCTGTTCCTAACTCTTGAAGAATCTGTAAGTCCTAACAGGTGCATATGGTTTTTATTTAGCCTTACTTTGGTGCAAGAAAGCAACAAAAAGCTCAAAGCCTTTTCAATGATTTAAAAGTGCATTTGCAACAAATGAAGGTGTGAAGGTGATTGTAATGAAGAATTTGTTTTGAGTGGGGGTTGGTTCAATCATTCAAAGTGAGGGAAAATTTACATAACATTAAAGAGTAAACAGGAGTTGTCCTCAAGTCAGGTGTTCCTAACTCAACTACTGCTTATAATTTGATTGTGACATTAGCTTTTACAATCATAGATGTAGAAAGACCACTGTGTTCCAAACATAATTATCGTACTAGCATCTCATTTCACAAAATTATTAGTTAAGATGAGAGCCTCTCAATGAATTTATATTTGATTAGTTTCACTTATTTAAGAACACTGAATAATTTAAGATCTGTTTCAATAAAAGGGAAGCAAAAAGGGCACTTCTGAGAAGTGCTGAATTCTTGTACTCTCTGCCATTTTATGAGGGAGACTTAAGTTCTTCACAATTACTACTAATTGTTCATACCTTCCAGGTGAAGCCACATTAGCCTCCCCTTCACACTGACCACTGAGGCCACACAGAGTTCTCCTGGGTTCCTGGGGTTTACAGCTTCCAGTTTCATATTTTTTGTGAAACCCCGACTGAACGATGTCTGAAAGAGAAACAGAACAAACACTGAGCCAGGAGATATCACAGCATGGTATTCTGCAGCCACACAGCAGGCCAGATGAAGAAACAGAAATAACACACACGTCTGCACACATTTCTTATTTATTAGAAAGATAAGCTTGTTTATGCTTGTTTTTCCCACCATTCAGGAGGAAAAACCATGTCCTTACTTCCTACCTACTTACCTACCTACAAGTATCTCAGAAAACATAACTATGGTTGGTATACAGTAAGTGCCTAATAGTATTTGTTAAATGAGTGAGAAAATGAATATATGAATGAACTCAAGTCTGCCTTTCCAGTTCCATATGCACACTTACGTCGATTGGATCACTGAAGGAAAAATCCTTTCTTCTACTTTCCTATTTTCCTCACTAGAATCATACTAGGGCATATTTGAGGAATTAAAGTAGGGAGAGCCAAATTTCCATCTGTCATCATTTCTCTTCAATCTGAAAACATTCTTAGGATTTCTTACAGTGCAAGTCTGCTGGTGATAAACATCCTTAGTTTTCTTTTATCTGAAATTGTTTTCCTTTTTATTCTTGTTTGTTCATTTTTATTTCCTTTTTAATTCATTTTAGTAAAATTCATTCTTTATGGTGTCCAGTTCTATGGCGTTGGGGCCATTAAACAAATTCATATAGGTAAGTAGCATTCAGTTGTATAGCTAAAACCACAATCAATACACATAACAGTTTCTTCACCTTCAAAAACATACTTTAATAATCCTTGACATGCAGCTCCTCCTTGTCTTCCAACTCCTGCCAACCCCTGATCTTTTTTCTGTTCCTATTATTTTGTCCTTTCCCCTATGTCACATAAATGGAATCATACAATATGTATCTTTCTGAGTCTGGCTTCTTTTGCTGAGCATAATGCATTTGAGATTCATCCATGCTAATGCATGTATCAGTATTTTGCTTTGTTTTATTGCTAATTAATATTCTAGTATACAGATGTGCAACAGTTTGTCTAACAATTTATTAGCTAAAGAAGATTTGAGTTGTTGCTAGTTTGGAGTGATTAAGCCACTATAAACATTCAGGGACAAATTTTTTGTGTGAACATAAGTTTCCTTTCTCTAAATATGGGATTGCTAGATCATATGGCAAGTATATTGCTAGACTGTTTTCCAAAGTGGTGACAGCATTTTACATTCCCACCAGCAATGCATGACCAGGTGTTATGTTCTCCAGTATTTGGTTGTGTCAGTAATTTTTATTTTAGCAATTCTAACAGGTGTGTAGTAGTATCTCATTGTGGTTTTGATTTGCATTTTCCCTAATGACTAAGGGTGTTGAGCATCTTTTCATGTGTTTCTTTGGCATCCTTTTGTCTTGTTTACTGAAGTATATATCTTAAAGTTTTTTCTCTTTATGTTCGATTTTCAAAATTTGACTATGTTGAGTTTCTTTGCATTTGTGCTGCTTTGAATTTCTGGAGATTCTTGAATGTGTAAATTTAGGTCTTTCAGCTGCTTTGAGTTGTTTTTTGGCCATTATCGCTTCATATATTTTTTTTGGGCCATAGTCTCTCTTGCCTGTTCTCCTAGGTGTCCAATCACAGTATATCATCCCTCAGATCCCTGAGGCTCCGATCATCATTTTTTCCTCCTAATCTTCTTCTTTTATCTTTCCGTTCTTCATATTGGATAATTTTATCTTAAGGTCACTGACTCTTTACTCTGTTATCTCCATTCTGCTGTTAAGCCCTTCTACTGAATTTTCTTATTTCAGATGTTGTACTTCTCAGTACTAGAATTTCTTTTACATTTGTTACTTCTCTTCTAGAAGTTTCTATCTTTTTTTCATTCAATGAGGACACATCATTAAACACATCTTTACATCACTGACTCTCAAATTTGAGGGTACATCAGAATCACCAGGAGAGTTAGAATTTCTGTCTCAGTTTATCTGGGTGAGGCCGTACAATCTGTATTTCCAAAAAGTTGGATGCTGGTCTGGGAACCACACTTTGAAAACCACTGCTTAACCTTGCTGGGCTTAACTGTAATAAAACCAAACCAAACTCACTGCCATCGAGTTGATTCTGATTCATAGCGACTCCCACTGGGTTTCTGAATGGTAAATCTTTGCAGAAGTAGATTGCCTGGTCCTCCTTCCATGGAGTAGCTGGTGGGTTTGATTAGTAGTCAAATGACTTAGACACTATGCTAGTAGAGCTCCTTAAAATACTTGTCTGCTAATTCCATTCCGTACTGTCATGTGTTTAGTCTCTGCTGATTATCTTTTCTATTGAGAATGGGTTATGTTTTCCTATTTCATCATATGTTTAGCAATTTCGGGTTATAACCTGGATGCATTTAATGTGTTTGTGGAGACTCTGAATTGTGTTATATTCCTCCCAAGAGTTTTGATTTTTTTCTACTTTAGCAAGAAATGAACTTGGGTGGACTCAAAGTACAAACTCTGACTCTTAAGCAACAACTCAAATCTCAGTTTAGTTATTGGGTCTTCAGCTGGGCTGCCTGGCACATGTATGAGAATCTGTGGTTCCCTTGTCTAAGTCTCTCCTTTCTAAGAGTCTCCTTTCTTTTCCAGGGCCATGGTTGCCTACTTTCAGTTATCATGTTCATTGAGGCCAGAAAGACTACAATTTCAATCACTGTTTTAGCCATCCCAGGTGATGTCAACTGCAGTTGCCTTAAGGCTAGAAACCTGAAAAATCACACACACAAACAGAACAATCACCCCATGCTGTTGCTTTCTTCCAAGAGTCTTTTCTATTCCAGAATCTGCCTGCTTCTGTTCATTCTCCAGTGCCCTCAGATAGTTGGGGTTTTTTTGTTTTGTTTTGTTGGTATTTTGCCCAGAGTTTACAATATCTATCGATGGGAGGATCAGTTCAGTATTAGCTTAGCCAATATTAGAAACAAAACTCCCCTCAACAGTATTTTACAATAACTTTTCAAAAAACATCAACTACTATAAATTATAATCAGACAAGTTACAATTCTATACAAATATATCTATTCTGAAATACACAAATTGAGATAAACATGTTCCTATGAGTAACTGGGGAGCTCTGGTGATGCTGTGTTTAAAGCATTGGGCTGCTAACCTAAAGGCCAGTGGTTCAAACCTACCAGCTGCTCCATAAGAGAAAGATGAGGTAGTGTGCTTCCATAAAGATTTACAGCCTTAGAAACCCTATGGGGCTGTTCTACTCTGTTTTATAGTCACTATGAATATGAATTGACTCATGGAAGTGGGTTTGGGTTTATAAGTAACTGAGGGGGCCTAGGTGGCACAGGGGATGGGGCTATTAAAATGCATGTGGACAACTGCTACATGAATGGAACGGAGGACAGGTAGAAAAACCTTGTAGAGGGAGGGGAGGAGCTATGGTTGTCATAGAAGAAATGGCTAGCTCCCTAAATAAAGAAGTAGGAGGACATGTGAGGATTTTCTGCCCCAGGCTAGAGACTTTAAAGAAAAAAAAAAAAAGCTTTTGGCTGCTAACCAACAGGTTGATGGTTTGTACCCACTAGCCACTCTGCAGAAGACAGTTGTGACAGTCTGCTTCCGTAAAGATCACAGCCTTGGAAACCCTATGGGGCAGTTCTATAGGGTTGCTATAAGTTGAAGGAATTGACTTGACGGTAGTGGGTTATTAAGTAACTAAGACTACATCTTTATGTAACTGAAAGAAAGAAACGAAGGTAAGACACATTTACATGTCTTTTTATATAAGCTGAAAATTGTAATTACATCTTTATGTAACCAGAGCAGAATCAACCAATATAGGTTAAGAAATCAATTTCCTCCTTTGCTTGATGTTACTTTGGAAATAGGACTCAAGGTATTCTAGGTGGCTATTTTTGTGCAAATTATCCTGCCTCATCCACATGTATCATGTGTTGAGCTTCTTTGTGATAATACAACTTGATAGGCTACCTGAAAAACCTCTAAGTGAGTTAAAGTACATTTTATCCTACTTAACAAGGGAAAGCTACAACCACATAACCTATTTCGTTTCAGCTCGCTGCTTGAGGGTAATTTATAAAGGATCAATAGAAAAACTGTTACCTATGAGTTTACTAAGCATTGGGCTATGTCAATCCATTTCAAAACTGCCTTTGATTGTTAAGCATCCCCGGGGAAATGTCTTCCATGCATCCATTTCCACACTAGCTCTCCCCTGCTACACAGGAGATGTGTGATTAAAAAATGAATTCATAATAAGCATTCCATTAAAGAGCACTTGTAGCAAGCTAACACATTCAGCAAAGTACCAGTAATGCAATGCATATGCCAATGGGCAGATAACAATTCTGTCTATTAAATAAACTGAGAGCTAGAAACAAAAGGGGGTATATGTGTAACAAATGCATTCCTAATGAATACACTAACAATTTCATTAAAGCAAATTTAATCTAGGTAGGTAAATCCTGAAAGCTCAGAGACTACCTGAGGACAGGGCTACCTGCTTCACTATTAAAATGCATGTGGACAACTGCTAGATGAATGCAAGCAGAGACCAGGTAAAAAGACCAATGCAGGGAGTGGAGGGAGCTACAGTTGTCACAGAAGAAACAGCTAGCTCCCCAAATAAAGAACTAAGAGGAGATGTAAGGATTTTCTGCCCCAGGCTAGAGATTTTAAAGAAAAAACCGATGACCATTGAGTCGATTCTGACTCATAGTGACCCTTTAGGACAGAGTAGAAATGCCCCATAGGATTTGCAAGACTGTATATTTTTACGGAAGGAGCTCTGGTAGCATAGTGACTAAGGCACTTGACTGCTAACCAGAGGGCCAGAGGTTCAAACCCACCAGCCACTCCTCAGAAGGAAGGTTAGGAAATGTACTTCCGTAGTGATACCGCCTTGGAAACCCAAAGAGGGGTCGCTATGAGTTGGGTCTGACTTGACGGCACATAACAACAACAACAACAACATATCTTTACGGAAGCAGATTTGCCCCATCTTTCTCCTGCAGAGTGGCCAGTGGGTTTGAATCGCCACCTATGGTTAGCAGCCTAATACTTTAACCACTACGCCACCTGAACTCCTTAGGCTAGAGAGTTAGAGAAGGAACATGACTCTTGTCAGGCAGAAAGCACAACTTCAGAGGGGCTTTAGATGTGTTTCTTTAGTCCTAAATGAAAGTCACTGAGGCCAGTAGATTCTGTGACAGTAACGCCTATATGGTGAAAAGTAGAAAAGAATCCATTGGACTTAATAAGCCTTAAGAGCTAACCAACTGCCCTTGTGATGGCATGGTTACACAGCTGTCCCCACATACCACTAAACACACTCCACACAGTTCTTCAATGCTACTCTTGTGAAAAAGCATTGTCATCCAATGGAAAATTTATTTAATCATTTGAAAAGCTCTGAATTTCCAACTCTGCCACCAATTTGTCTCTATATTTATGAGTACAAGTTGACTTAATTATCAATCTACTTCATTTTCCAAAACCTGATTTTGGCTTTTGCTCAATACTGAGTTTCTCTCTACTAAATCAACCCCTTCCACCTCTCGGTTCTCATATTCTACTATCCCGGTAGTACAAATTATGGATGGTGTGCCAGTGAATCAGCAGCTCTTGGCACATATGCCTAGAAAGCAAGTATGTGATTTGGGAATATTCTACACTGTTGTAACTATAGGTCCCAATTAGAATACTGCATTTTTTCATTCCATCAGGAATTAACTTCCATAGCTAAAAGTATGTTCAACATACTAAGCTAACATTTACACCTCATTCTTGAAGTGAGAATAATAATTCATATCCCTTTCTCATAGTTCCTAGGGATAATGAAATTAAAATGAATACTTTCATAAAGTACTTCATACTTAATATACTTGCATATATAATTATGAAAGTACACACATGTATACATTGCTATTTCTTGTATTGCGAAAATCCTGCCACTATACCAATAAGCTCTGTTTGAATAAGGTAGCAGCTTCCAGTCAGCAACAGACAAATTTGCTTGGCTAGCAACTTAAAAAGCACTTAAAGAAAACAAATTAAGATTATATTTTAAGAATATAGCTCAGAACAGAGAACTGCGTATCAATGGGCTTATCAATACTATACCACATAGCAAATATATGTCTAAATGTGGCACAGATATTTAACTCTTCCCCAAAATTTGTCCTCCTTGTTCCACACAATATAGACTAAAGGCTGGGAAACAACTGCCCAGCCAGAAGACACTTCCTAGCCTAATTTGTAGCATAGCATAGCCAAGTGACAGGTTCTCACCAGTGGAAGGTATCAATATCAGGCTACAGGTTTTAGAAATTGGGGTATTTTCTCCTTGATCTCTTTTCCTATCTGCTGCCTAGATTCAGATGATGAAGTTAAATATGCACAGAGCCTGAGTATCTGACTCACCGTAATGAGAAGAACTATCCAATCAGGAACATTAAGGATCCTTCCATAAGTGAGAAATAAACTTACAACCTGTTTGAGCCATTGTATGTTAATCAATAGGTTTGTTACACAGCCTAGCATCCCCTAACTAATATATAAACTCAGAGAAGGACTTTTCAAATCTGTGAAAGTTTTATGATCCTATAGCAAAATGCAGTTCTCTAATCTTCCTCAATAAATAGAAAGCAACTTACAAAACCCATGGTGAACCTCTGTAATAGTAAGAAGAAGAAACAAGCATCTTACATTTCTGAAGCAGAAAGGAGGTGCTGCTTCTGCCCCATCCTGCTTGTGATAATCTGCCCAGTCAAAGTCCTGGCCCGAGTAACCTGTGCACAACAGAACAGAGAGAAAACAGCATAAAGCTCAACCTGAGACCAATGAACAGCTTTAGAGCATGTCTGCAACCGAAATAAAACACATATTTTCCTGCCGAAGTTAAACCATCAAAGGCAGTTTTGAAATGGATTGATGGCAGCCCCATGCTTAGTAAACTCATAGGTAACAGTTTTGCTATTGATTCTTTATAAATTACCTTCAAGTATAGGCCCCAAAGGATGAAGCCCTCTCACACCTAACAGCACTTCAGAGTTCATGAAGGTCAAATGAAATATTTTGAAAAATGTCAAGTACTATATACATGTAAAGTATAGCATTGTTATCACAATGTCATACCTGAATCCAGATGAAGATGGGCAGAAACTACCTATAGAAGCTCAAGCCAATGGGTGGATCTGCTAAAGGGGAAAATAGCTAAGAAAGGCTATTACACAGAACCCATTCCCACAAACCATTTAACAGAAACAGGAACTAATAACTTTTCATGTAAATTTTGAATTTGTATGAAGTTATTTTTCAGTATCTTTATGGACACCATGCGAATTTATATTGAAAAAACTACTATGTGAGGATGACTTTTAAGGAATGAGAGAAGACAAAGCAGATGCCAAACAAGGAGTGGAGGCTTTAGAGATAGAGACTACAAAGAAATGAAGGAAGAGGAAGAATATAAATTCTGCCTTAGAACTGAATTGCTGAGATTGAAGGAAAATGAGAATTGGGAAAGATGGGCTTTCTCTGGCGTAAAACTTTTGGGGTAGATATGAGATACTGAAGAAGAGGTTTGAGAAATAACTATCCACATATACTGGACTTAATTAAATACTGAGCCAAAAACCACTTCCATACAGTCAATTCCAACCCCTAGTGACCCTATAGGACAGAGTAGAACTGCCCCATAGGATTTCCAAGGCCTGCCACACCTTTCTCCTGCAGAGCATCTGGTAGGTCTGAACCACTGACTTTTTGGTTAGTAGATGAATGCTTTAACCACTGTGCCACCAGAATTACTTTAATTAAATACAGATGCTATCAAAGTGATTTTTTTTTTTCCCTTTTTAGAGTGAGGAGGGTGCAATCATACAATATAGCTGCATGACGACAACCAAGGCAAAACATGGCAGGAGATGGGGGAAACAGTTCTCAATCATAAGAAAGATACTGGATGGATGATTTAACTTAGGCAGGAAAATAGGTCTTAACATGAGCATTATTTTCATAAACCCAAACAAATTACAAGCATGCCTTGGGAAAAGAAGTGAGATATTAAAAAGTGTCATATGAACACAGGATGGCATATGGAAATGAAAAATACTGTATCAGTTATGATTAACTGAAAAGCCTGTACAATGTCACTATTATCTAATTTCATGTTCTCTTATCATTGGATTTCTTAAGTGTATTTTTGACCCAAGTACCCCAATTTCTTTTCTACAAGTACAAATTCATTTAATATGAGGACATTTAGTTACTAAATCTACAGTTATAGACAGATTACAGAAATTATTAAAGAATCTCAAGATATACTGGTGGCCCTCTACCTCTATCTGTACACCTTAAATATAAAATAGGTATATTTTCATTAAACAAGCTCAATTTATCCAATTTTTCTTTGGGGGATGGTGTTTTTCTTGTTTTGTTTTTTGACAGTATAATCAAGAAGGCAACAGTTCTTCTCTGGTCCCAGGGACTCTCCCAAAACCGTCTTATCATCCTACAGAGATGTTTCTGTCATTCTTTAAAGACTTATAACTACTTATATCCTTCCAACAAGGGAGAAAGCAGCTTCAGAGTTTTGAGATACTATATATTCTTTCTAGGTAGTTGGAAGACTCAAAAGAGAAATTCTTCAAGTTGTTCCACCTGCTCTTTTCCCCAACCCCTCCCCCCAGAGCTGTCCTTCCAGCTGAAAGGCTAGTATATCAGAGGCTTCTAGAAAGGACCAAATAAAGATTCTTCTGAATATTTTTAAACAAATGAAACATGTCTTAACAAGGTAATACTGATTTGTTTACAATTACTATAACTCTCTCTTGAGAGCAGTTCCTCTGGAACTTTTTTGGCTCAAATCTTTGCATTAATGTCTAAAAACAACAGAGTTATCCTCAAGGCACCTCAAACTGGCAAGGAGGTACCTAACAGAACAAAGGTTACTAAAACAGAGAGCAAGACATCTGGGTTTTAGACCCAGCTCTACTAGGAACTGGTAGAATACAGTAAAATAAATTAAATCTTCTGTGTCTGCCCTTCTTCATCCACGAAGTCACAAAGTCCGCCGTAGCTGTTGGGTGCTATGATTTCGAGTTATCATTACTAATTATTTTACTGTGGCTACTTAGGATTTTTTTCCACTCTCTCTGTGGCTAATTCTCTGCCCTTCTTGTAGGACAAAGATGTGACAGGGTTGGAAAAGAGGAATTATACAACAAAGAATTTCCTTTTCTTGAGGATCTTTCAACCGAATAGATGCAGAAAAGGTAACTTCCTACAACAGAAGGGTACTATTTGTTTTCATAGACCTATTTTGTTAAAGTCAAGATCTCCTTTGTGCCAACATTTCCCTGGACCTCTGCTACTTTAGTTAATTTTGTGAGCTTAAGAAAATCTCACCAAGATCATGGCAAGGGTGGGGGAGATCTAGTAAAAAGTCTTCTGTATAGATGAACAACTAACCATTTTTTGATATAACATGGAATCTGAGTCTGTACAGGCAAAAATTTCTAACTTGGAAGTCACACTATGCTCTCTATGTATAGATACTGACAGAGCTGCATTTTCTATGATGATATTCATAACCACTGATTTCTAACAGGCGTCAATTCACTCCATAAAATGTCATGCTCCATGCTTTCTTGGAGGAACATTCAACGCTTCTACACACAGTCCTCAAGTCTCTCTTTATGGGGAGCCATTTTTAATCTAATAATTTCAAGATATAGTCAAGTCTTCTGGTTATCTTTTGTAAGCAACAATTAATTATTCTGCTCCTTGAACATTCCCATTTCTTTGACCATTCTAACAGTCAAGATTTCTCCTCCTTCTCTTAGAGACCTCTACTCACTATATCAGTTACAATTCTTCTCTTCAGGCTGATAATGAACTCTCTGTAAGGCACTTTTGTGATAGTTCAGAAAATAACTGCTGCATAAAAACAAATTGCTGTGGATTGTGTAATCCAGGGTCAATTATACTCATTAATCAACAAAGACAGAACAAGTACTAAGGCTTAGTTGAAGCCAGGAAAATATGTTTTAAATCCAGGAGGAAAACAGCACAGGGAAGAAGGAAATAAAAGACAAAAACAAAACAAAAAAACACCTTAGACTATTAAAATGTGCAATAAGCTACCATAGGAGACTGTTGAACCTAACCACTAGAGTTATTTAAGCTTTTATTAGTGTTTATTCTGAATGAAGTTCCAACTGTAACAAGTCCAAAGGGGATGAGGTCAATGACCCATTTCCTTATGATCCAAATCAATTGACATAAAACAGCTCCACTTGCAAACATTACTATTGGCAGTGTAAATGGACAATTTATTTGAAAAACAACTTGGCAGTAAAAATGTTCATGACATTTGACATAACAATTATACTTCTGGGAATTTATCCCATAAAAATAATCCTGAAAACTAAAAAAGTTTCATACATTAAAATACTCGTGGCATTACAACTTTATATCCAACAAGAGGAAATGGTATGAGACTTCCCCAAGTTCATGGAAAGTCATACAGGCATAAAATTGTGCATAGTTTATTTAAGAAAAAAGAAAAATGACTGCTATAGGTTTAGATGAAAAGACTATTACACACATATGCACAATTATCAGATATATATAAAAACATGCAAGCAAATGTCCAGAAAAAAATGTAAGAAAAACTTAATAGTAGATATCAAAATAATTGCTTAGGTGGCAGGACTCATGGTTATTTATTTATTTTTTCTCCTAGTTCTTTGTATTTTTCAAGTTTTCAACAATGATCACAAATATTTCAATAATCAACATTATATGAAAACACAGCATTTTTGCTCCATTTTAAAAGATAACCAAGTCACTGGCTAATCATGAAAATGCAATGCAACCATTGCCGTGGAGCTGGATCTGACTCATAGTGAGCCCTCTTTGGGTTTCCAAGGCAGTATCACTTTCCTTCCGAGGAGTGGCTGGTGGGTTTGAACCTCCAGCCTTCTCGTTAGCAGTGAAATGCCTTAGGCACTATGCCACCAGAGCTTTGTTCAGTATTGTGGAATACACCATGACTGCCTCCCAAGGGCCACCCTCCCACTTTTTGCTTGTTAATAGAATCCTGAATTTATCCAGTTCCTAGAGGAAATCAAGCCTTTCCTAAGCATCAGGAAGTGAATCATTACTACCCTAAAAGAATCATAGCAGTCTCATGTCCTTTGCTTGTGCTTTGGGCTAAAGGTGGAGGTAGAGCTTTTTTTTTTTTTCCCCCTTCTTCTAATAAAAGAGACAGACACAAAGGCATCAAAGTTCCTCTGATTTGTAGGTTGATATGGAAAAAAATGTACATCTTAATGAAAAATAGAAAAAGAATATCACACTCGTCATCTATCTGGTTGGCAAATATGAGAAAGAATAAAAATGCACCATTCTAAAAGATTTTTAGAAATTGGTTCTTTCATGCCTTTTTGGTTAAAGTATAATTATATAAAATATTATAGATGTTAATTTTGATCATATATCTCAAAATCTTTTCTAATGTGCCTACCTTCCAAACTAGCCATTTGTTCATTTATATATTCATTAATTCGAAAATATTTGACTGTATACAATATTATAGGTTCCAATACTACACCCATTGTCTTTGAGTCTCTGCAAACTCAGAATGACCCTACAGGGCATAGTAGAACTGCCCCATAGGTTTCCAAGGCTGTAAATCTTCATGGAAGCAGACTGCCTCATCTTTCTCCCACAGAGCTGGTAAGTCCCAATCAATGACCTTTAGGTTAACATTACCAGGATTCCT